TGCTCAATCGATCCTCCTGCCTTGGCCTCCCAAAACACTTGTAATTATAGGCATGAGCCACTGCACTCAGCTTCTAGATGCAAAATTTTAAACTCTTAAATCTCAGCTCACTACAACCTCCGCCTCCCAGGTTCAAGCGATTCTCCTGCCTCAGCCTCTCCAGTAGCTGGGACTACAGGTGCCTGCCACCACACCTGGCTAATTTTTGTATTCTTAGTAGAGATGGGGTTTCAGCATGTTGGCCAGGCTGGTCTCAAACTCCTAACCTCAGGTGATCCAACCACCTTGGCCTCCTAGAGTGCTGGGAGCCACTGCACCTGGCCAGGAGTTTCTTAACATTTATGTTTTCAGGTCTCACCCCTGGGAGTGAGATTCAGTGGATGAAATGGGGCCTGGAAAGCTGCATGGCTCCCGGAGACTCTGATGCAGGTGTCCTGGGAAATGCTGCATTTAGCCCTTCTGGTGAAGCTCTTTCTTCCTGATTTGCAGTTTGTGCTGGAGGGAACTCCAGGCCTCGTTTTTACGGACAGGGACAGTTAGGCTTGGTGTAAGTGTAACCCCAACCATTACGGGGACCTGGCCCCACTCTACAGCGTGGGCTGACTCAGCAGACAGGGTCCTGCCTCCCTCCTCCCCCCACCCAGCCCTGCTTTCTGCTCACATATACTTCCAGGAGCCCGTGTCCAAATCTGACACCACCTCGGAGCTCTGGGAGCTGGGTCGGAAAGGAAAGGAAGTGTTGGGTATTCTTTTTTTCCCCTCCCCTGAAATCTGGACATGAGTATGGACATTTAGAGGCCAGTTGTCCTCACAGCCCTTCCTAACATTTTCTGGAGGTAGAGAGGAGAGAGAAGACAGGGTTCAGTTTGGGGCTCAAGACACCAGCTGTGGGCAAGAGGGGTCCCAGGGAGCCTGTGGCCACTTCTTGGTCAGTGGGGAGCTTTACGGGATTCCTGGATGTAGATGCCACTGGCTAAGGCTGAGGCAGGTCCTTGCTGTTGGGGCGTGTGAGGAGGCATCATCGGGATGCCCTCAGATGGCAGAAGAACTGGGGCTCAGCCAGCGGGATTGCTCCTCAGCCTTCTGCGGCTGTGGGGCCTTCACTGGCGTGCAGGGGGAAGCCTCAGCCACTAGACCCTTGCTGCCTCTCCTTGCTGCGGCCTCGGCTGGCACTGGGCCTGAGGGATTAGGGTGGCATGGTGGTTCCTGTGTCTGGCGCCCCTGAGTGACAGCTTTTTCCATCCCCCGTTTCAAGTCTCTGGTTAGATCACGAGAAGATCTTGCTGTGGCGCTCCATCCTTAAACCGCTGGAAAACTTGCTGATCTCCCTTCCAGGAGAGAGAGCTGACGTCGGCTTCCCGCAGGCAGCGGGAGTAGATGGCATATAATCATGGCTCGTTCTTTTTGTTCTGACACTTGGCTTCTGTTTATGGCGAGTTCGTACTGATTCTCCACTGACAATAGCAGTGTAGAGTTTCCTTTCAAAATAGATTGTTTTTATTTTAAAGGAGTCTGTTCAAAGCAAAATAAGTAAATAAGAGTTAGAGTGAGTGGGGCACAAATTGTAAATGATACATGCGATGCCTGAGCTTGGAAACTGGGTTCTGGAAGCAGCCGTCTGGATCTCACATCTGGCTTCATCTTCACAGCAAGCCTGTGCGGGGAGCACAAGCATTCTTCACACTGCGCAGCAGACGCAGCTTCGCAGAGAGGCGCAGGGACTGGCGCAGCCTGGTAACTTTGCCTCCCTGGTCTTTCCGCCTGCTCCTTCTTGTGGCCGGGAACACTGTGACCTCGGGTTCATTCTGCCCCTCTGCTTGCCCCCCGCCGATGCTGTCTCAGCACTTTCTCTCCCATCTGCAGCCCTGAGCTGCCTCCAGGGAGGAGCAGGCCAGCTTGCGCTGCTTTGTCCTGGTGTCTGCATTTTGGCCACGGAACTTGGGGTTGAGCCGTAGCCAGGCAAGTAGTGGACCCCAGCCTCCCTGGAGCCCAGCCTCCCCTGACCCCAGCCTCCATCGGACCCCAAACTCCCTGGACCCCAGCCTCCCCGGAGCCCAGCCTCCCATGGACCCCAGCCTCCCATGACCCCAGCCTCCCACGACCCCAGCCTCCCCTGACCCCAGCCTCCCCCAGACCCCAAACTCCCCAGACCCCAGCCTCCCCCGACCCCAGCCTCCCCGGAGCCCAGCCTCCCCCAGACCCCAAACTCCCTGGACCCCAGCCTCCCCCAGACCCCAAACTCCCTGGACCCCAGCCTCCCCCAGACCCCAAACTCCCTGGACCCCAGCCTCCCTGGAACCCAGCCTTCCCCAGAGCCCAGCCTTCCCCGGGCCTCAGCCTCCCCAGACCACAGCTTCCCCCAACCCCAGCCTCCCTGGACCCCAGTCTTCTCTGACTCCAGCCTCCTCTGACCCCAGCCTCCTCAGACCCCAGCCTCCCTGACTCCAGCCTCCTTGAACCCCGGCGTCCCCTGACCCCGGCCTCCCTGGACTCCAGCCTCCATGGACCCTGGCCTCCCCACCTCATTTCCTGGCTATTGGATGCAGGCCTTTCTGTGGGGGCTCTGGAGACCAGGCTGAATCTTACTGACGTTTCGCAATTTGGTTCTGCCAAAAGGTGAGGGGATGGTCGTGCTCTTAAAAGCGGTCAGCCCGTCCCAGGAATCCATGCTCCTGATGGGGAAGCTATTTGTGTGTGGTTTCTGTTCAGAAGTCCTCAGCAGTTTTAAATTTCCTAAGCAGTGATTAGTGGCATGGTGAGGGCCTGATCCACGGGACCATTCTGTCCTGGAGGAGAGAGTCAAGTCTCACTGCAGCCTCAGAAACTTGACCCTCTGCCATTTTGTTTTTGTGGCACCAGCGGCTCCAGGAGCCAGCCCGTGGAAGGTGCCCAGACACCTGGCCTGGGGCTGTCTGCCAATGGCCGTCCCGCATTGAGCTGTCTTTGGAAACTAAAGCTGGGGAGACGTGCTGTGTCTGCTTTTGAGTATTATGTGCAGTTATACTTTGGGAATGCGCTCTCCAGGCGTGTGGCGTTCATCTTGTCTGCAGAAGGAACCTCCTGCCTTCTTCCCTCCTGACTCAGCTCCGGGTGCCCCCCGGCCCCCCTGGAGGGAGTGAGTGAGTGAGCAAAGCCCTCCCGGAGGAAGAGCCCTCCTTTGGGGACTCAAGGCATGGCCTTTCTCGGAGAGTGTGTGCGTTGGCTCATGGTCACCTTCCTTTGACCCACAGGTCAGAGTGGCGGGCTAACTCGTGGGATCCGCACACGGTGTCTGGTATCAGGCCCCCACCTAGGAAGTGGGCTACCAGCTGTGGGGGACAGGATGCCCCGGATGCATTTGCTGCTCCTTCCTCTGTGTCCCAAGCACGAGCACGAGCAGGAGCAGGAGCAGGAGCAGGAGCAGGAGCAGGAGCAGGAGCAGGAGCAGGAGCAGGAGCAGGAGCAGGAGCAGCGCTCTCCTCTCTGAGCCCCGGGGCTCTGTGGGGAAGGCAGATGATGGCCCGCAGGAAAGGGCTTTGAAAGGGCTGAGACATCAGGTGATTCTGCTTTTCCTTCTCTGTTGTTCTAAACACTGAGGATTCGGGACTCTCTGCGCACACACCACTTGCCTGTCTTGGTTAGGAGTTATTTACAAGGAGCAGAAATGGACTCGAGCTGCCTTGGGTGCCTTGGGTCAGACTGTCCGAACACAGTGGTTCATGGCAGGGGTGTCCGGATGCCGGTGTCTAGCTGGGAGCGGAGCGGCCCGCGTGGGGCATTGCATGGGGCGTCGCGTCGCATGGGGCATCGGAGCAAGTTGCTCGCACTCCCTTGGGGCTGTCCGACTTCTCCCCTTCGCTCCCGTCTGACTCTGGTGAGTTTCCTGCCCCTCCTCATCTGTCCTCCTCTCCTCCAGCTGCACCTCTCTCTGCTGTCCCTGGCCCAGCGAGGCGAACCCGGCCTGCCCCTGACATGAGTTCATGGTTCTCCACTCCTCGTCATCTCATCTCTTCTCTCCCTTCTCTCATCCTGCCACATGTAGGAAAAGATTGCTGCTGTCTGTGGAGGTAAAGGGACAAGGCCTTGGAGATAGGGGGAGGGAGCCCAGCTGCCCCTGAGACTGAGACATCAATGAGGTACCCTCCTGCAGCCTGCTGTAGCACATGGTTTGGGAAGCACCCTGCTGTTTTTTGAGACAGTCTCACTCTGTTGCCCAGGCTGGAGTGCGGTGGTGTGACCTCAGCTCACTGCAACCTCAGCCTCCCAGGTTCAAGCAATTCTCTCTCCTCAGCCTCCCAAGTAGCTGGGATTACAGGCACCCACCACCACGCCTGGTTACTTTTTGTATTTTTAGTGGAGACAGGGTTTTGCCATGTTGGCCAGGCTGGTCTTGAACTCTTGACCTCAGGTGATCCACCTACCTCAGCCTCCCAAAGTACAGGGGTGACAGGCGTGAGCCACCGTACTGGCTGGGAAGCTCCGATCTTAATGAATCCATCTTTGTATCTAATTTCTGAAATCCCAGGAAAGAGCGTGATTGGTCTTAGATGAAGTGTGCACACCCACTGTGATCGCTGTGGCCTAAGGAAGGGCATGGGTGGGGTGGGGACCAGCATCTCAGGGGAGGGGCCGGCGAGGAAGCCGAGCCTGTAACACAGCCAGACAGGCCTCTTTCCTTTCTTGGAGGTGAAGACTGTGATCCCACTCTAACTCCATGCCATCTGGCACAAGTACCTGGTAGGTTTGAGCTGCTCAGTAAACGTGTATTGATGAAAAGTGACCAGGCACACGTGTGGTGTGGAGCCAGTGCCCTGCTGAGCAGCGTTTTGAAACGTGGCACTTGGCGGATCCAACAAACTTCCGTCATCACCACCACCCTCCCCACCCCACTACCTGGTGATACAGCCTCAGACAAGCCTCAGCTTCTCCGCCTGATGCCTCTAACATCTGGGGGCCTTCCCGCTGCCCTCCACTTTCTTGTTACCGTCTGAAGCCTCAAACAGAGAAGTTAACCAGCAAGGCAGACCGCCTGTGTTTTTCTCTCAGCAGGAGGCATTTGGAACCAATCCTGCCACGGCCCCTTCCAGTTGGCTGTTTGGAAGTAAAACGACACACACTAACACCGCATTGTAAAAACGGCTTTCCGGCCACAGCTTTGGGCTTTTGTGTTTAATGGAAACGCCCATCTACATTTCCTGCTTTGTTTTTTGTTAATGGCCAGGCAGTAACCTGGCAAATGCCACTAATTTTTAAATCCTGCTCATGTTAAGCTGCAGCAGTACCTTTTAGAGATGAGAAATTGGCTGGCCATGGGGGCTCACACTTGTCATCCCAGCACTTTGGGATGCCAAGGCGGGTGGATCACCTGAGGTCAGGAGTTCGAGACCAGCCAGGCCAACATCATGAAACCCCGTCTCTACTAAAAATACAAAAATTAGCTGAGTGTGGTGGCACATGCCTGTAATCGAAGCTACTTGGGAGGCTGAGGCAGGAGAATCATTTGAACCCAGGTGACAGAGGTTGCAGTGAGCTGAGATTGCACCACTGCAATCTTGGAGTGATTGGAGACTCTGTCTCCAAAAAAAAAAAAAGAGAAAGAAAAAACGAAATCAACATTCAATAATTGGAAATGAATTGTCAGTGGCTGGCAGCCTCCCAAGGGTGACAGGGACCACAGGGAACCTCTGCTTAATTTATAGTGTTTCATCTTCCATCCTTCTCCCGCCCCGCTTTATACCAACTTTATGTAGCAGAAAGAGAGACTGGAATTGATGCTGGTCTGGAAGGGCAGGGAACATAATACCTTGTTCTGTATTTACTCCTGTCTTTATTTCTATATTGGGCTTGTAGCTCTTTTTTCCTTACTCTACATGAATCACTTGGATGCATAAGTTTAAAGACATATGTTTGTGGCTCTCACACATCTGTCTTAAATTTCATGTTTTCCGTCCTCTCTTCTGCTTTCCAAACAATTTACCTCCCTCTCTCTTTCTCCTGCTGTAACTGATTTCACTGTGCAACGGAACCCTTTCATTCCAGGAGCTGGTGGAGGGAAGAAGGCCAGCCAGAGTCCGTTTCTGTATAAAGGCATCTTGGCACACATTGGCCACAGTTTCTTAGTACAGGACACGATTCCTTTTGCGATGGACATGGCTGGTCCACCACAGTGGGCTGAGGTTGCATGCAGAGCTGAGGACGCATGGGGTTTGCCAGATTCCCAGTGAGGTGACGTTGTCGCCACTGTGGACCTGTCCAGTCCGATGTAGGGAGAGAGCTTCACGTGCCAGGCTTTGGACAGAACGGTCCCTTCTGACTTCTTCCTCTGATCTCTTTTTCCAGCCTGGGAATTTCTCCCATCATTGTAAATGTTTCCTTTCCTCTCTGTGTCCTAGGGCTGGGGCTCCGTGGCGACTTCCTGGCACAGGAAAGTGGGAACGAGGGGTTTATGACCGGGCACTCAGAAAGTTCTGCCAAGAAACAGCTTTCTATGCAGCCAAGAAGGAAAAAAAATCCCAGATGGAGTAACAATCAAATAGGAAATTGAAAAGGAGGCTGCTCTGAGGACTCCTGGCTCTGGTGGGACAGGCGCATGAAACCGTAAGCACCTCCGTTGTTCTCACGGGGCTGCACCAAGTGCTCACGGCTCCGCAGTGGGACAGGTGCAGACGATGCTGGACTGATAGACATCTCCGCTGTTCTCACAGGCCACACTTCCTGCTCTTATTTTCATTTGCAGAGCGGACGTGGACAGGCTCACCCTGCTGACTTGTAATTTATAAGAGCATTTAAATGGTGCTGTAGGCGCTATATGGTCACATTGCTAAGCTAGAAGCTGCAGAAAGTTTTGAGGCTATTTGCCTAATGTTAAAAAATATTATTATTTGTTTTTGTTTTGTTTTTTGAGGCGGCGTTTTGCTGTTGTCACCCAGGCTGGAGTGTAGTGGCACAATCTCAGCTCACTGCAATGTCCGCCTCCTGGGTTCAAGTGATTCTCCTGCCTCAGCCTCCCAAGTAGCTGGGACTACAGGCACCTACCACCATGCCTAGCTAACTTTTTGTATTTTTAGTAGAGATGGGATTTCACCATGTTGACCGGGATGGTCTCAGTTTTCTTGACCTCATGATCTGCCTCCAAAGTGCTAGGATTACAGGCGTAAGCCACTGTGCCCGGCCAATATATTTATTATATATTTATTTTTGAGATGGAGTCTCACTCTTTCCCCCAGGCTGGAGTGCAGTGGCTAATTTTTGTATTTTTAGTAGAGATGAGGTTTTGCCATGTTGGCCACTCTCATCTCGAACTTCTGACCTCAGGTGATCCGCCTGCCTCAGCCTCCCAAAGTGCTGGAATGACAGGTGTGAGCCACCACGCTTGGCCTGTTTGCCTGGTTTATTTTCTGCATAGCAGGTTACCAATTAGCTGCTGGGAGCCGTGATGAATGCGTGAAGACGGAATGCTGGCCTGCTGTGGCTCATTCTGTGGCCCACGCTGTGGCTCATGCTGTGGCTCACGCTGTGGCTCCAGGTCAGATGTGGGAGCTCATTGACCACCCTTCATTGGCCTGAGCGTCATCACCATCATCCTCATTTACTGAGTGTCTCCCACGTGTAAGGCAGTGACGATCAAAGTGGCCTCAGATTTAGGCCCTGGAGGCCTTGTCTACTGAGGGAGAGGTGAGGTGGTCTCTGGATGTGAGTCTGTAGTAGGAGGAGGGCGCTGGGATTCTGGGAGGTGGAGTTCTCTTTTGCTCTCAGCCTGGTGGATCATCTCCTGTCTTCCCATAGCTCCTGAACCGACCTTTCTCCTGCGACTGCTGCTCCCAGGAGTTCTGTCACATGCGATGAATCCACACTGGACATGTCCATTGGGTGCTGTGTTGGAAGTTAGTGGAAAACAGAGCCCGGGGCCCTGGGGTCCTATCCTCGGGCACCTGCACTGACCCTGTCTCCCGGGGGCAGGTCTGTTTTCAGCTGAAGAGGGCGTCTTGGCATGGATTTTTGTTTTAATTTTAAAAAGTAGGCCAGGCACAGTGGCTCATGCCTGTAATCCCAGCACTTTGGGAGGCCAAGGCGCGCAGATCGCCTGAGGTCAGAAGTTTGAGACCATCCTGGCCAACATGGTGAAACCCCGTCTCTACTAAAAATCCAAAAATCAGCTGGGCGTGGTGGTGTGGGCCTGTAGTCCCAGCTACTAGGGAGGCTGAGGCAGAAGAATTGCTTGAACCTGGGAGGTGGAGGTTGCAGTGAGCCGAGATCACACCACTGCACCCCAGCCTGGGTGACAGAATGATACTCTGTTTCAAAAAAAAAAGAAAGAAATCTTGTACTTGGAAATCTACCATATTTTTGCATTTTTTGCCGAGTCCTTTCATTGGCTGTCACACGCGATCACCTCACGGCTTGTACTGAGCCACAAAGGATGTGAGAGTTGGGATCGGGGTGAGCTGGTTACATCTCCCTGCTTTCAGCTAAGGAAGGCCAGGGCCGGAGAGATCACGTCCTTGACAGGCATATTTTTCAGCAGATTCCCCGAAGCTACAGGGAACGGCACTTTTCCCTCCACAGAGTCCTTATTCCTAGGCTTCTGTTCTTCCTTTTTCTTTTTAACCTGATGGCTTCTGGGAAGATCTGGAGTGAAAGCAGTCAGGTTTGTGTCTCTTCGTTAACGAGCGTGACATTCTGGGTGGAACTGGTGTGACAACGCATCCCCCAAAGTCTGCTGCCAATCAAGGCCCCTGTAGTCACCTCAAAAGGCGCTGCTCAGAGTGTGCGCATCTGAGCTCTTTCCTGGTGATGTCAGCAAGAGACCCAGGACACTGTGAGCCACAGAAACCCTGTCCCCCTAGAAGTGGTTGCCGCTGGGACGGGGGTGCTCCCACTCCAGACGGACACTGGCTCCTTGTTCCCTGCCCTGTGCAAACTCCCGGCCGTGGGCTTAGATCTCTCTCCGTGGAGCATATGGGCTATGATCACCAGCCATCATGTGCCGTTGCAAACCACTGTGCTCAGCGGAGCTTTCACACAAGATGGGGCTTTAGGAAATCCCTTCTGTCAGCCTGCAAGGGCCGCCGCGTGGGGATGCAGCCTTTCCTCTGTCTGTGCTGTCACACAGCCTGGCAGCCGCATGCCATGTATGCCCCCGCTAACTGCTCATCTCCTGGCTGGCGGGGCCATTAGGGCAGGAAGTCCAATGGCACAGTCTGTGAATCCCTGGAATCGCTGTCACAAACGAGGTGGGGTTCCCTGTGTTGGGTCCTGGACTCCCCACACTGGTGGCATGGCAGCAGACCAGAGAATTTAAATGTTCTGCGTTCGGCACTTTTGAAAGGGTGGGAAGAAAACACGGATGCGTTTGTCTTTGTGGCTGCTACTTTTTAATCTCACTAATGTGTTGTTGACTGAATTCAGTCTGAAGGGGCAGCTTGCTTGCTTTCCTTTCTTTTCTTTCTTTCTTTCTCTCCTTTTTTGAGACAGAGTCTAGCTTTGTCGCTCAGGCAGGCGCGATCTCGGCTCACTGCGACCTCCGCCTCCCGGGTTCAAGCGACTCTCCTGTCTCAGCCTCCAGAGTAGCTGGGATTACAGCACAAGCCACCACATCTGGCTAATTTTTGTATTTTTAGTAGAGATGGGGTTTCTCTGTGTTGGTCAGGCTGGTCTTGAACTCCTGACCTCAGGTGATCCTCCCACCTCGGCCTCCCAAAGTGCTGGGATTGCAGGCGTGAGCTGTCACACCTGGCCGGAACCCTCGCTGTGTACCAAGCAGTGGTGTCAGCCCAGCACACACATCAATCCAGTTCCCACGGCAGAGTATGAAGCAGTGTCGTTATTATCATCATTTTACTCTTGAGGAAACTGATACTCAGAGAGGATGTGACATGCTAGATAGAGTTCACCCTGTGGTTTATAGCGGAGCTGGGTTTGAATTCAGGCAGTCTGGCTCCAGAACCGCGTTCTCCATCATTTTCTTTATCCCATACTGCCCTCCAGCAAACACGAGTACTGATTGAAGATTTCACTGACCAGTGAGGACCCTACTCAACCCTGAGCTGCCGATTCTTATAGCTTTCCCAGCTGGAACGAATGCTCTGGGAGAGCAGGTGTGTGAGATAGTTCCGAGTGTGTTTGATTAACATTCTGAGCCCTTCCCTGCAGCACTGGTAAACTAGAAAGCAGCTAGTCCTCCTCCCGGCCCTTTTTCTGCTCGTTTCTCCTGGCAGGTGGCCTGATCTGCCATATGCGGTTGCAGCCTCACATTTTTATATTGTGGCCAAATATTTGTAACTTAGAGTTTACCATTCTCACTGTTTTCCGCTTCTAAATGGTAAGGTAGACAAGGTGTCTCACCACCTTCATTTCCCTGTGGCACTTTCATTCGAGTGTTGTAAATCACAACTGATCAGCTCTGTTGGTTGCAAAGCTCAGCTAGGTCATCTGTACATCAGTTAGAAAATTCACTGTTCTGGCTTGGTGCAATGGCTCACACCTGTAACCCCAGCACTTAGGGAGGCCAAAGTGGGTGGATCTCCTGAGGTCAGGCATTTGAGACCAGCCTGGTCAAAGTGGTCAAACCCCATGTCTACTAAAAATAAAAAACATTAGCCAGGCATGCTGGTGGGCACCTGCAGTCCCGGCTACTCAGGAGGCTGAGACAGGAGATCCCTTGAAGCCAGGAGGTGGAGGTTGCAGTGAGCCGAGATTGTGTCATTGCACTCCAGCGTGGGGGACAATAGTAAGACTCTGTCTCAAGAAAAAAAGATAAAAGAAGATGGCATGGGGGCTGGGCATGGTGGCTTGTACCGGTCACACAGCACTTTTGGAGGGGGGAGAATGGCTTGACCCAGGAGTTCAAGGTAATAGTGAGCTGTGGTCATGCTGCTGCACTCCAGGCTGAACAACAGAATAGACCCTGTCTGTACAAACAAAAGCACAGAGGGGGCGGGGATAACAAAAGCAATGATAGTAATAGTAATAGCAGCTACGCTAGGTGTGGTGACTCACGCCTGTAATCCCAGAACTCTAGGAGGCTGAGATGGGAGAGACGCTTGAGCTTGGGAGTTTGAGACTAGCTGGGGACACGTAGTGAGACCCTGTCTCAATAGAACATCAGAAAATTAGCCAGGCATAGTGGTGTGTGACTGTAGTCCAGCTACTCAGAGGCTGAGGTGGGAGGATCCTGTGAGCTGGGAGGATGAAGCTGCAGTGAGCTGAGATTGCCCCACTGCACTCCAGCCTGGGCGACAGGGCAAGACTCTGTCTCAAAGTAATGGTGATAATAATAATAGTGGCAGCTAAGCTAGGTGTGGTGGCTCACACCTGTAATCCCAGCACTTTGGGAGGCTCAGGTAGGAGGATCGCTTGAGCCTGGGAGGTGGAGGGTGTAGTGAGCCATGATTTGGCCACTGCACTCCAGCCTGAGTGACAGAATGAGACCTACACTCTGTGTCAGCTCCTTAGCAGAAAGCAGTTAACCCTTATGTCAGACCTAATCCTAGCCAGGCTTTGTGCTGAGGGATCTGTGTAACTCATCTGCACAACTGTTCAGTGAGGTATAGGGTCTGTTACCTGCATTTTGCAGCTGAGGAAACCAAGAGAAGTGAGAGGCGTGACCAGGGTCACCCACTAGTAAGTGGCTGGAACAGACCAAACACTCAGGCTCTGGAGCCAGGGCCCGTGCTCTGTAACCTCTGGTGCAAATCCTGCTGTGACCTTGAAGATGGCAGCAGGGGGAGTCCTGCTCTTAGGATAGATCGCAGGCTTTGGTCATTGTGGGTTCGGAAGGGTGTGAGCACATTTAAGGCTCTTTTTTCATTTTTGAGATGGAGTCTCACTCTGTCACCCAGGCTGGAGTGTAATGGCGCCATCTCGGCTAACTGCAGCCTCTACCTCCCCAGTTCAAGCAATTCTCCTGCCTCAGCCTCCCAAGTAGCTGGGACTACAGGTGCCCGCCACTATGCCCTGCTAAGTTTTATATTTTTAGTAGAGATGGGGTTTGGCCTTGCTGGCCAGGCTGGTCTCAAACACCTGACCTCAGGTGATCCACCTGCCTCAGCCTCCCAAAGTGCTGGGATTGCAGGATTGAGCCACTGTGCCTGGCCCAGGGTCTGTTTTCTTTTCTTTCTTTTTTTTTTTTGAGACAGTCTTGCTCAGGCTCCAGGCTGGAGTGCAGTGGCGCAATCTTGGCTCACTGCAGTCTCTGCCTCCTGGGTTCAAGCAATTCTCCTGCCTCAGCCTCCCGAGTAGCTGGGACTGCAGGGGCACACCACCACACCTAGCTAATTTTTGTATTTTTTTTTTAGTAGAGACGGGGTTTCACCATGTTGGCCAGGATGGTCTCAATCTCTTGACCTCATGATCCACCCGCCTCAGCCTCCCAAAGTGCTGGGATTACAGGCGTGAGCCACTGCGCCCAGCCCAAGGCTCTGTTTTCAAATGCTGCTCACGGAAAGGATGGTTTTGATTTGGCTGGAGGGCAGGGGTGACGTTTGCCCAAGAAGGCTTGGCTGACCTGGCCCAGGAGTTTGCTGATGAATCCTGTGTCTGCATTGGCTTTGCCTTGATTCCACAAATTTGCAGCTGTTTCCAACAGAAGCTGTTGGAAAGAAAGAAAAGCTTAGAACCCCCAGTCAAGTGCAAGACCCAGCCCTTAGCATGGGGGGCAGATTCAGGCTTCTCAGAAATCACCAGGTTTCATTTCCCTGCAGCCTCTGTGGGTGCTGACTGATCCCACCTGTGTTCCAGCTTTGCTGGGCTCTCTCCTTCGCCTTTTTGCAGTTTCCTGGTTCCCAGCCCTGTCCCTTCTGATATTTGCTTCCTTGTTGCGTGGGTCGCTGTGAAAGCGTTTCTGGCCTGCATTCCTAGGATAGTTCCAACCGCAGCCTTGGACACTTTACCAGAACCAACTGCCGGGCAGAGGAATGGGAAATTTCAAGTAACTGGATAGCCCGTTTCGTCATCCTTTTCAACGTTTGCCAAGTTGAGCTAATGTTGTCTCCTCTTTCTTTTTTCTCTCTCTTCTCCATGGCTTTGCTTCTGAACTTGATGAGCTGATGGTGAGCAGTAGGGTTGCAGGTGCTGGGGTTTTGCTGTGACATTCCCCACTGTGCCACGTGGCCTCTGGGTGGTTGTGGTAGGAGGCTGCTTGGCGAGTCGAAGGATCATCAGAATGCACCCTGCGGCTGGGCGTGGCGGCTCACACCTGTCATCCCAGCACTTTGGGAGGTGGAGATGGGAGGAATGCTTCAGCTCAGGAGTTCGAGACCACCTTGGGACGAATGGCAAGACCCTGTCTCAACAAAACATCAAAAATTAGCTAGGCCTGGTGGTGTGTGACTGTACTCCCAGTGACTCAGGAGGCTGAGGCAGGAGAACTGCTTGAACCCAGAAGGTGGAGGTTGCAGTGAGCTGAGATCGTGCCACTGTACTCCAGCCTGGGTGATAGAGCAAGACTGTGTCTCAAAAGAAAAAAAGGACCAGAATGCACCCTGGGTGGGAAAGTTGCCAGGTGATATCTGGGCAGAGCAAACAGTGGATGTAAAGTCATCCGATCCTTCCCAGCTTCTGCAGTGCCAGACAGCACAGCCCTGTTGAGACAGGGTCTCGCCCCATCACTCATTCTGGGGTGCAGTGACCATATCACAGCTCACTGTAGCCTCGGCCCCAGAGCTCAAGGCCTCCTCCCACCTCAGCCTGTCAAGTAGCTGGGGCTACAGGAGTGGCCAGCACACCCAGCTAATTTTTGTATTTTTTTGTGGAGCAACGGGGTTTTGCCATGTTGCCCAGGCTGGTCTTAAACTCCTGGGCTCAGGCGATCCAGCCACCTCGGCCTCCCAAGGTGCTGGGATGACAGGCGTGAGCCACCGCACCCGGCCAGAGCAGCTTTAAAATACCTTCTTCCTTAGGCCGGGCATGGTGGCTCATGCCTATAGTCCCAGCACTTTGGGAGGTCAAGAGACCGAGACCATCCTGGTCAACATAGTGAAACCCTGTCTCTACTAAATATACAAAAATTAGCTGGGCATGGTGGTGCGCGCCTGTAGTCCCAGCTACTCGGGAGGCTGAGACAGGATAATTGCTCGAACCCAGGAGGTGGAGATTGCAGTGAGCCAAGATCATGCCTGGGTAACGAGAGCAAAACTCCATCTCAATAAATAAATAAATAAATAAATAAATACCTTCCTCCTTACCTCGTTTATATTTTTCTAGCCACAGCCCTGTTTTTCTCTTCCCTTTACAGTGGAACTGTTTGCTTTTTGTAGAGACAGGTTCTCGCTACATTGCCCAGGCTGGTCTCAAACTCCTGGCCTCAAGCAATCTGAAGTTAAGGCCTCCTGCCTCAGCCTCCCGGAGTACTGGGATGACAGGAGTGAGATGCCACGCCTGGCCGGGACAATTAAGAGAATCATGTGGTCATTATCAGCCCCTTCTCTGTGACTTCCTCTGTCTCTCTGTAACTCCTCTTCTCTGCAGGGCCCTCCTCTGTGTCCCATGTTGGCAGGGGGACTCGGGTTTGTTGGGTCACAGACCCATGTGAGGTGCATGTGCTGGGCAGAGCTGTACCCGCCCCTCCCTCCTCCAGGTCAGGCTGCCTCAGCCTTGTCCCCTCACTGGCCCCCCAATCCCATCAGCTTGGTACATGACTCTGCCACATTCCATGGCCGGTCCTCTGTCCTCGTCGTCCTTGGCATCTCAGCAGCATCTGACACCAGGTGCCCGCGCTCTCCTCTCCAAGGCACTTTCTTTACCTGGCTGTTGGGACTCTAGGGACCCCCACCCCCCTCCTCACCTGGTGCGCCTACGTAGCCTCCCGTGTCTGTGGTCCCTGTATCTGCCCTGGAGTCTCATGTGTAGCCTCATCCACTCCTTGGATGGCCTCATCCAGTCCTGTGACCATTACTCTCTTCTGGTCACAGATGATGCCGACTTTTACATCCCCACTGAGTCTCCATCGCTAAATCCAGTAACTTGAAATATCCACTTGCACATGTAATAGCACCTGGGGGTTGACCTTCCAGCCTTGACTTTCCCTCTCAAGCTCACTCCTCCTCCGCTGCTCCTCATCCTGTCTCACACCTCCCTTTATGCTTGTATACCTATGTGACAAACATGGCTGGGGCACAGTAGGTGCTTAGTTAATATCGGTGGAATGACTTCTAGCACTTGCCAGTCATAAAACATAGTGGGGTAAAAAACTGTGCTCACTATAGCGTATCTCCTACACATCAGTAAGTCAGTGATAAGCAACATTTACACTGTTGGTGAGAATATAAATTAGTTCAACCATCATGGAAGACAGTGTGGCAATTCCTCAGAGATATAGAACCAGAAATACCATTTGATCCAGCAATCCCATTACTGGGTATATACCCAGAGGATTATAAATCGTTCTATTATGAAGACACATGCACACGTATGTTCATTTCGGCACTATTTACAATAGCAAAGACTTGGAACCAACCCAAATGCCCATCAGTGATAGACTGGCTAAAGAAAATGTGTAACATACATGCCATGGAATACTATGTAGCCATAAAAAGAATGAGTTCATGTCCTTTGCAGGGGCATGGATGGAGTTGTAAGCCATTATCCTCAGCAAACTAACACAGGAACAGAAAACCAAACACCTCATGTTCTCACTTATAAGGGGGAGCTGAATAATTAGGACTCATAGACACAGGGAGAGGAACATCACACACTGCGGCCTGTTGTGGGCTGGGGGGCTAGGGGAGGGACAGCTTTCGGACAAATACATAATGCATGCAGGGCTTAAAACCTAGATGACAGGTTGATGGGTGCACATGTATCCTGGAATTAAAAAAAAAAAAAAGACAAGCAACAGAAATGAGGTGATAATGCTGGCGAGGGCACTAGAAGGTGGGCTCTCTCATTTCCACTGTGGGGATGTAAAATGGTCAGGGCCAGGCACAGTGGCTCACACCTGTCCTCCCAGCACTTTTAGAAACTGAGGTGGGCGGATCACAAGGTCAAGAGATTGAGACCAGCCTGGCCAACATGGTGAAATCCCATCTCTACTAAAAATACAAAAATTAGCCGGGGGTGATGGTACATGCTGGTAATCCTAGCTACTCAGGAGGCTGAGGCAGGAGAATCGCTTGAATCCCGGAGGGGGAAATTGCAGTGAGCCAAGATCACACCATTGCACTCCAGCTGACAGAGCAAGACTCCATCTCCAAAAAAAAAGGTCTAAGCTTTCCTAAATGGTGAGTTATGGGTAACTTTTAATCTCAATTTTTGTGGTTTGCTGTGTTTCCCAACTTTTTTCCAGTGATTTTTTTCCCCCAAGAATTACTTTTTAAAGCAGGAAAATTCAATCATTTTAATCTTTCTTTTTTTTTTTTTTTTTTTTTTGAGATAGAGTCTTGCTCTGTCGCCAGGCTGGAGTGCAATGGTGTGATCTTGGCTCACTGCACCCTCCAACTCCTGGGTTCAAGCGATTCTTCCACCTCAGCCTCCCGAGGATCTGGGACCACAGGCACATGCCACCACATCCGGCTAATTTTTGTATTTTTAGTAGAGACGGGATTTCATCATGTTGGCCAGGATGGTCTCGATCTCTTGACCTCATAATCTGCCTGCCTTGGCCTCCCAAAGTGCTGGGATTACAGGCGTGAGCTACCTTGCCAGCCTTTAATATTCCTTTTTAAAAAAAATTTAATGTGGCTGGACCCTTGCATAGCAAACTTATGAAGCTGATCCTGGTGGCAGGATGGTCTTGTTGAGCCTCTTAAGGATGTTTAATCTGAATTCCATACCAAGTTTCTCTGGAATGATGCCATTGAAAACTGGCTGGGCACAGTGGCTCACACCTGTAATCTGAGCACTTTGGGAGGCCAAGGCAGGTGGATCACCTGAGGTTAGGAGTTCCAGGCCAGAAGTTTCAGACCAGCCAGGCCAATATGGCGAAACCTGATCTCTACCGAAAATACAAAAATTAGCTGGGTGTGGTTTCGGTTGCCTGTAATTCCAGCTACTCAGGAGGCTGGGGCAGGAGAATCACTTGAACCCAGGAGGCGGAGGTTGCAGTGAGCTGAGAGATTGCGCTGCTGCACTTCAGCCTAGATGACAGAGTAAGACTCTGTCTCAAAAAAAAAAAAAAAAAGAAAGAAAGAAAGAAAAACTGGACGTGCAGAATCACTGTTGTTCTGAGGTCCCAGGATGGTTTTGTGAGCCCCCAGAATTGCGGGGCTGGGGAAAAGATGCGGCATGAAGACAGAGCCACCCAGTCTGAGGTGGGTCCCACAGCCCTTCCTGCCAAGACACAGGTGTCCACAGATGGAGGCCTGGTATTTCTGAGCAGATCCCTGCCCTTCTCCCTCACTGCTTGGGATGGAACTGGAACCACCCTCACCACACCACAGACCCTTTCCCTTTTCTCTGTGTCACCGGCCTCTCAGGCTGCTTCCCATGACACATCCTTGCCCTGTTCTGCCCAAGGGCCCAGCCTTCCTGCCTCCGAAGGCTCACAGCTGAAGGGCCTCAACAGTAGGTGTTCTACAGTTTCCCTATATCTTTCTTTTCTGGAGGTACATTGCCAGCCCATCAATGCATTCATTTTATTTATTTATGAGACAGAGTCTCATTCTGTTGCCCAGGCTGGAGTGCAGTGGCAAGCTCTTGGCTCACTGCAACCTCCACCTCCCTGGTTCAAGCGATTGTCCTGCCTCAGCCTCCTGAGTAGCTGCGATTACAGGCACATGCCACCACACCCGGCTACTTTATATATTTTTAGTGGAGATGGAGTTTCACCATGTTGGCCAGGCTGGTCTCAAACTCCTGACCTCGGGTGATCCTCCTGCCTTGGCTTCCCAAAGCACTGGGACTACAGGCATGAGTCACCGCACCCGGCCCAAACACTGCATTTAATTATGTGGCTTTTGGGGCTTGGCAGTGAAGTTCAGGAGCACCCTGTTGCCCACCCATGTGGCATTCACCCTGATGGCTGTGAGCCAACAAAGGAGGCTGGCCATACTTGGCTTCCCACCCTGGGCTGGCATTCACATTTTCTCGGTTTCATTCCTCTGAGACCCTGGACCTCTGACCGTGTGCACAGCCAGTCTCAAGGATCTGCCGAGAGACTGAAGCGTGTTTTGTGTGGCGCCGAGAGCAGGGGGTCGGGGCTGGCTCTGGGTGTGGCTTTCCTGGTGTTCTGCAGGCTGAAAGGCACGTGTAACAGTGACTGTGATCATTCAGGAGCAGGGGCCTGGTGAAGGGGTGAGGGGCAGATTGTAACTCCGTGGCCTTCTACTGGAAAACCCATCTCTTCTCCCTTGGTGGCAAGGGGCCATGGCAGAGTAGCTGGCTGCTGTTGCTGCTGCCAGGGTGGAAAACCTTCCCTTCCTTCCTTAACCACGTGGTGGTCTCATTGTGTTGTGAATTTGCAGAATCCATCTTCATCTTCATGCTTTTTAGAGAGGTAGAAGTGCAGCCCCCTCCAGGATGAGTGTCGTCCTCCATCATTTCCACCTCGGAGTCCCCGCACTGTCCCACACTACGGGGGCCAGTGGGACCATCAGTTCTGCCATGGAGTCCCCTGTACTGTCCCAGACCACGGGGGCCAGTGTCGTTGTAGTGACCGTGCCCATTTGCCCAGCAGCCCTGCGTAGAATTGATGATTCTTTTCTGTATGCTTTGAGGCTTGCCGGTTCATCCAGCCTCCAGGCCTAAGAGGCTCTAAAGAACTCTGCAGGGAATCTGGTTTAGACTTAACCACCTTCTTTTGCTTTTTTTCCTGCAGCTCAAACTTTGGAACAAATACCGAATTTCCAACATTCCATCGCTAATATTCCTAGACGCCACCACCGGGAAGGTCGTGTGCAGGAACGGGCTGCTGGTGATTCGGGATGACCCAGAAGGTAAGACCTCGGCACGAGCGGTTGGGCCTCCCATGACCACGAGCCCCCCCGCACCCCTCCCCTAATCCCTGCGTGGGGTCCTCTCCTGACCCAGCCCCTCCCCACACCCCTAGTCTCTGCCCCATTGGTAGAGAGCACTCGTGAAACATACATACGTGGGTGTGTGTGGCTAGAGAGTATCGTCCTGGTGAAATTACAGTATCCTCCATGGTTAGAAGATTTTTACGGGGATAGGAATGTCCCTCCTCGGGGCTTTAATTCACGGGCAAAAAGAGATGGAATCCACAAAAAGGAGCCAAGCTCGGAGGCCCAAGAAGGCCATGGGAGAGTGGGAGAGGAAAGGCCGTGGGAGAGCTCAGATCCCGGCCTCTAGTGCTGCTTCCGTGTCAGCGGCCCTTTCACAGCCAGAGGCAGGCCAAGTGGGGTTTTTCCCCCTTAAAATGTTATGCAGCGAAGTCGCAGTGCCTGCCTGGCTCTCCCGGCTTGGCGGTGAGCGCACCTGATGCTTGGAGCTGCTGGCCCTGCAGGCCGTAGTTTTGCTGGCTGTGCGTGGAGCTGCTCCTCCAGTCCCACTCAGGGCTGTCCATG